CGGAGCTGTGGAAGTTATGTGTGTGGCCCCTGAGGGGGCACAACTAGTAGCTTTTGGTTGTTGAGACCATTCTCCAATCCAGAGCTCCCTCCACGAGGAAACTGTACACGTTGAAGTGGAAACTTTTCACTTCCTGGTGTAGAGACCGCCAGCTCGACCCAGCTAACTGCCCAGTCGGTACAGTACTGGAGTTCCTGCAGGCCCGTTTCTCTACAGAGTTAACGCCCCTCTCGGTGGCCTGTCAGTGGGAAGACACCCCCTGGTTACACGTTTCCTCCGCGAGGCCTCTCGTACAATCTCGCGTCCCCACGTGGGACCTGGCAGTGGTGCTAGAAGCTCTCTGTAAGCCTCCATTCGAGCCAATCGAAGAGATTTCTGATCGCCACCTCATGATAAAGACTACCTTTCTTCTGGCAATATCTTCTCTTAAGAGAGTTGGGGATTTGCAAGCCCTATCTGTGGCCCCTTCCTATCTTGACTTTGCGCCCGGTCTGACCAAAGCGTTTCTGTACCCTTGAGTGGGGTTTGCCCCTAAAGTCCCCTCATCTGCACCGTAGCCCATCGGCTTCCACACTAGACAGAGATTTGGAAGTCTGGCGGCGTGGGCATTCTCGTTCCCGTAGCGTTTTCCGACGGAGCTTGAGTTCCTGAAGAGGAACGTCTCAGGTTACGTATGTAACCATGGTTCCTTGAGGGAACGAGACCCTGCGTCTCACTTCCGGCATCCCTGCCAGCGCTTGCCTCATTCCTGAAGCTGACGCTGGCTCCGCCGCATGTGCTTTAATAGCTTCCCGGTCATGACGGCACCCGCCCGTGACGTCCCGCTCAGTTATTGGACTGATTTCACATGTGATTCAGAGCGTGGTCACAGAAGGCGTTCCCGTAGCATTTTCCGATGCAGCGTCTCGTTCCCTCGAGGAACCATGGTTACATACGTAATCTGAGACAGTTTCTTCCTTTGTTTCCAGTATTTACTTCAGCTGACTTCAGTTGTTGTTTGTTTGTGGGTCTTTCTGTCTTTAGTTTTGTCTTTAGCAAGTGAAATGCATGTTCAAATAGGTTGAGATCAGGAGATTGACTTGGCCATTGCAGAATATTCATTTTTTACCATCAATAACTCCTGGGTTGCTTTTGCTGTATGTTTTGGGTCATCGCCCATTTGTACTATGAAGTGCTGCCCAATCAACTTTGCTCCATTTGACTGAATCTGGGCAGATAGTACATCCCTGTAACTTCAGAATTCTTCCGGCTGCTTCTGTCCTCTGTCACGTCATCAATAAACATCAGTAACCCAGTCCCATGCATGCCCATGCTATCACACTGCTCCACCATGTTGCACAGATTATGTTTTATGCTTTGGATCATGAGATGTTCCAAGCCTTCTCCATACTTTTTTTCTTCCTGTCATTCTGGTACAGGTTGATCTTAATTTCAGCCATCCAAAGAATGCCGTCTCCCGCCCCAGAGTGCCACAGTCACAGACCACACAAGAAGTGGTCTGGCTTTTTTAGATATTTCTTGGCAAATTTTAATCTGGCCTTGTATGCACCTTGTGGTGAACCATTTGTATTTGCTCTCGTGAAGGCTTCTCTTGATCGTAGACTTTCACGGTGACATGCCTACCTCCTGGAGAGTATTCTTCACTTGGCTGGATGTTGTGAAAGGGTTTTTCTTTACAATGGAGAGAATCCTCCGATCATCCACCGCTGCAGTCCTCCGTGGATGTCCAAGCTTTTTATGTTGCTGAGCTCACCAGTCTGTTCTATTTATTTATTTTTTCTCAGAATGTGCCAAACTGTTGATTTGGCCACTCCCAATCTTCCTGCTTTCTCTCTGATGGATTTGTTTTGATTTTGAAGCCTAACAACTGTCTGTTTCACTTGCATGGAAAGCTCCTTTGACTGCATGATGTCAAGTCAGAGCAACAGCTTCCAAATGCAAATGGCACACTTAGAATCAACTCCAGAACTATTACCTGATTATTTGATGTAGAAATAATGAAGGAATAGCCCACATCTGTCCAAGAAATTTTGAGTCAACTGTCCAATTATATATGGTCCCATGAAAAAGAGGAAGGTACATATTAAAGAGCTGTAATTCCTTAACCTTTCCTCCAATTGTGATGATACCATCAAATTAAAGCTCAGAGTAGTGTTGTTTTTGGCGGCCTGTTTTAATTTAAGTTTTAGTCTAGTTTTTGTGTGAAGCTGTCATTTTAGTTTTTATTAGTTTTAGTCACGTTCATACTCTTTTTAGTCTAGTCAAGTTTTAGTCAACTAAAAGTCTTAGCATTTTAGTCTTATTTTAGTCAGAATTATCCATGACTATTTTCGTCTAGTTTAAAGGGAAGAACTGCAGAATATAATGTCATACAGATATTTTTTATATTATTTTAAAAAATGTGTCTATCAATGGTGGCAATCAGTAGGCTCATTTCTAATGCAGAGACCAATTTATATGAGAGATTTTAATGTAGGCTTTTATTCATATGTAAACATTGAGATAGCTAGTTATAATGGTAATTAAACAAAGTTTTGCTCACTCAGTGTATTTTTGATTTTACAGCTGGGTAATTTTGTTGCAGTAGCACGAGATAGCTTGATTTAAAACTTTGAATTTAATAAAAAAATGACAAGGAGGCTAAGCAGTTAATAATCAAATAAGAACAAATAAAGAAATGACTAATGATAGCACAAATTTTAAAAAATCACGATAGGCCTACAAATGAAATAAATTGCTTTTTAGTTTTTCGGGTAGGTCTAACACACAGTAGGGCTATTAAGACATTTTTTTTATTTTTTTACCAATTATCCAAATAATGTTTAATCCTAGAAAGCTATTATTATCAGAGGACACATGAGCATAACGGATAGCAGCTCAATGAATGAGAGGGCAGCGTTACCAGAGTTGCCCATTTACCACACCTTGTTACAAACAGAAACAATACTGTACTATATAGATGTTTCCTGTCAGCTTGATTTTTGAGTGGACTTTGCTGTTTCGATGAGCACGAACGGTATATGAGTGGAGCACTCACATAGACTGTGAGCAACTGAGCGGAGCACACACACACCGCATAGAGCGGGATAATACGCTAATACGAGTGTCACACCACGTGAAAGTAAATCCTGAGCGGTGAACTAATTTTCGGCAGCCGGAATTTCAGTGCATCTCTAATTATTGGCAACATTAGAAATGGATATTATATAATAGCTGCTTTTTTGAACATTTTAGCCATTTAAAAATATTAAAAAAGGATTTTTTTACACTGCACCCCTGCTCTTGACAGACGCGGCACCCCGGTTGGGAAACACTGGTCTAAATAATGCCGCAAATGGGGCTTGAGGAAGTGACGTCGCCTGCGTCTGCGCAGTGCGACCTGATGCAGCCCCTGAAGTGAGACACAGGAAACAGAAATACTGCAAAATAATAATAATAACGCGACTAAACGAGACAAAATAACGTTATAACATTTCGTTTTGGCTCGTTTTGGTCAACGAAAATAAAGAGACATTTTAGCATAGTTTTTATTTTGTAAACCACATTTAGTCTCGTTTTTATTCGTCAACAATATTGCATTATACATTTAATTATAGTCATCATCACATTGCCAGCATTTATGTTGCGTCTCGTCTCGTTTTCGTCACGTGATAAAGGTTCGTTGACGACGATATTTAGTCATAATTTTCATTGACGAAAGCAACACTAGCTCAGAGTGTGCACTTTAAGCCCATATTCATTATATAATTGCAAATTGAATATGTTTTGGTCAGCAGCTAAAAGAAAATAAAATGTGCCTGTTCAAATATATATGGACCTAACTGTATACAGACATTAAACAGGTAGACATTAGGCTTCCTCTTAAGCCTTTCAGTAGCTTAAATTAATGTAAACAAAGAGATTTTGGTGCCATAAAATAATCCGCAAACACATTAAATTAAATATTTAATTTTATGTGTTTTTTATCACTGTTTGTGTAATCTACATTGGCACAATCATCAGAGATGAACCAGTCAAAATCAGCTATTTGTGAGCGAATGCAAAGTTTCTTGTGTGCTTGCAATGCGCAACATTTCTGAGAGAATGCAAACACCCTGACATTTTTTTCCATCTCATATATTTTTTTTCCATCACCATGTCCCTTTAGGGGCACTTTAAGAGGTACCTCTTAAAGTCCGGACTCCGGTCCGGACTCCAGACCCAGAGGGAAGTAAATCCGGACACGCCTCTATTTCATATTTCAAGAGCACTAATTATATTTCTTGCTTTGATAAACACATCTTAAACTTGTAAATCATTTGTTTATTTTTTATGTCTTTTTGGAGATGGTCTGAAATGAAAGCAAAGGCGAGATATTTAAAGTTTTCCTGCGTCATGTTGTCATGACATCCAGTGAGTGTTTGACATAATCGGGCGACACTTCACCGCTGTGTAATATGAGTTAAAGATTTTTTTTTTATATTATTATTTTTGTTATCACTTAGATCAGGGGTGCCCAACCCTGTTCCTGGAGATCTATCTTCCTGCAGAGTTCAGTTCCAACCCTGAGATAACAGCGCATGCTATGACGTCACAAGCCAAAATCTCCGGTTTCGCTGTCTACACAATAACACTGCAATCGGAGTTTTGGAAAATCTTCACCCTGGCAGGAGTTTTCAAAAATGTTCGGTTTCAGTGACATGGTGCATGTGGACGAATGGCCAAACCGCATATAAAAAGCTGCAGTTTTGAAAATAGCCGCGTTCGTGTGGACAGGGCCTAAATGGTGTCATAAACCACACAAGTGCGTGAAGAATGGATGTCAGGATCCTAAAATCAACAAGAAGAAGGGGCTAACATCTTGAGCTCTAACCCCAGGAGCAGTGTTGGAACTGTGACATCTGCAGAAAGGATGGTTATACCTGCTTTCATATTGACATTAAATGGTCTTATTTCCTTGTTTGTGCTTCACCTTTCTGCTTTTTATGGGATTAAAAAAAAGTTAAAGATGAGAATCTCACCTGCGACCCTCCAGTTCACACACATACTTGAAGTAAGCAGTCCAGTCTATACTGCTCTTTCCCTCCTGTAGCCAGCTTTGCAGCACTTTTCGATTCACTTCCAAAAAGTCAGACAGGATGACACGATCAAATCTCTCACAACCACTCATGACCTGGTAGAGAGTGGGGCCAGATCCCACATCAACTAAAATGTCCCCTCTTATATCATCTGTAAAAGAGAGTGGATATTCAAGAGCGACTGCAGAATTGAACATTTTCATCTGTTTATTCTTGCACTTTTCTATAATAATAATGACAATAAATATAGCTGCAAGCAGCGATACGGGGCCAAGCCCCTGAAGGGGCTGTAGTGCAGTGCAGAGCAGGAAGAGCAAATACAGCAGAAATTGATGAACATGAAAATCAGTCGATTCAGAAGTATAGGTGGCAACGAATCACATATGAGCAGAAGTTCCGATGAGAATGAACACAGAATGTAAAAAACAACAACAACAACACTTGGGCATGTGTCACATTGAGTGGTGAACCCACGGCAAGAAGCATGCAGGAACCATGGTGTAACACATTGAGCTAGTCATTCATACTTGTTCACCAGATTACGGAGGAGAGGTTTCAGTGTGAGAATGATCACACAAAACCGTGACTTAGCATTTTAGACATTTACATTTAGTCATTTAGCAGACGCTTTTATCCAAAGCGACTTGATAATGGGGACAATAGAAGCAATCAAAGCCAACAAAAGAGCAATAAAATGCAAGTGCTATGACAAGTCTCGGTTAGCCCAATGCAGTACATGTAGCAAATGTTTATATATATATATATATATATATATATAAAGAGCAATAAAATGCAAGTGCTATGAGGTTAGCCGGTTAGCCCAATGCAGTACATGTAGCAAATGTTTATATATATATATATATATATATATATATATATATATATATATATATAAATACATCCTCCTGGGATATTGATCTGGTCACTTAAGTAGCAGAGGGAGTTGTTGATCAGTTTCGGCTGCTTTATAGTTAATGAAATTAACAACAGGTGCACTTGATGGGCAACAGTGAGATGACCCCCCCAAACAGGAATGGTTTTACAGGGGGAGGTCACTGACATTTTTTGTTTTGCATTTGTCTAGGGTCAGTGTCACTACTGGTAGCATGAGGCGATACCTGGACCCTACAGAGGTTGCACAGGCAGTCTAACTCCTCCAGGATGGCACATCATTACGTGCCATAGCCAGAAGGTTTGCTGTGTCTCCCAGCACAGTCTCAAGAGTATGGAGGAGATTCCAGGAGACAGGCAGTTACTCTAGGAGAGCTGAACAGGGCCATAGAAGGTCCTTAACCCATCAGCAGGACCGGTGTCTACTCCTTTGTGCAAGGAGGAACAGGGTGAGCACTGCCAGAGCCCTGCAAAATGACCTCCAGCAGGCCACTGGTGTGAATGTCTCTGACCAAACAATCAAAAACAGACTTTATGAGGGTGGCCTGAGGGCCCGACGTCCTCTGTGCTCCCTGCCCGGCACTGTGGAGCTCGATTGGCATTTGCCATTGAACACCAGAATTTACACAGCGTTTTAAATCATGGCGGGTGAGGGCGTTTTCATACGCGTTTGGCCAATCAATGTCTACTTACGTCACGATTAGTACCAGTTGTGCTGGTTAGACCCTGCTCCGGAGTAGGAGCTAATTTGGTTCTCGAAAAAGGCAGTCCGGTACTAAAATCGCACCCAGTTCCGGCAGTGAGAAAACGCCAAAAAGTGGGTAGTTCCACTTTGGAAAATCAGACCCTACACTTGTGCAGTGGGTCCTGGGTTCCTCCTGGTGCATGACAATGCCCAGCCTCATGTTGCGAGAGTATGGAGACAGTTCCTGGAGGATGAAAGAATTTATACCACTGAGTAGCCCCCACACTCGCCTGACCTAAATCCAATAGAACACCTCTGGGACATTATTTTTATCGGTCCATCCGACGCTGCCAGGTTACACCTCAGACTGTCCAGGAGCTCAGTAATGCCCTGGTCCAGATCTGGGAGGAAATAACCCAGGACACCATCTGTCGCCTCATGAGGAGCATGCCCCGACATTGCCAGGCATGCATACAAGGACATGGGGGCCATACAAACTACTGAGTACCATTTTGAGTTGCTGAAATTAAATTTCAGCAAAATGGACTAGACTGCTGCATAATTTTTTCACTTTGACTTTCGGGGTGTCTTTGAATTCAGCCCTCTATAAGTTGATCATTTTCATTTCTATCAAAAGATGTGGCATCCTTTCGGTCCTAACACATTACCCAGTCCATATCAGTATACAAACCCAATTCCAAAAAAGTTGGGACACTGTACAAATTGTGAGTAAAAAAGGAATGGAATAATTTACAAATCTCATAAACTTCACAATAGAATATAGATAACATATCAAATGTTGAAAGTGAGACATTTTGAAATGTCACGCCAAATATTGGCTCATTTTGGATTTCATGAGAGCTACACATTCCAAAAAAGTTGGGACAGGTAGCAATAAGAGGCCGGAAAAGTTAAATGTAGCTGGAGGACCAATTTGCAACTTATTAGGTAAATTGGCCCAATTTGTACAGCGTCCCAACTTTTTTGGAATCGGGTTTGTAGATATCCAGCATGATATTTTTCCCCAATGAGATCTGATGTCAAAGTGTTCCCTAAATTTTTTTGAGCAGTGTGTGTGTGTATATATAATACAAAGAAAAAGAGTACGGACAAACTCCTTCTGCTCTCCCGGATAAACAAGGATTTCTCACACTCTGCTGCTCTGTGTTTCACAGAAACCTGGCTGAATGACGCCATTCCGGACAGCGCGAGTCTGCCGGGTTTTCCGCTGTTTAGAGCGGATCGTGACGCAGAAACAATGGGGAAAACACGAGGTGGCGGGACATGCTTTTACATCAACGGAAGGTGGTGTACAGATGTTACAGTGTTAAAGAAGATGTGCTGTACTGACCTAGAAGCACTTTTCATTAACTGTAAGCCTTTCTACTCGCTGTGGGAGTTTTGTTCGTTCATTCTCATGAGTGTTTACATTCCTCCGCAAGCGCACGTGAGCTCAGCTTTACAGAAACTCGCTGATCAGATCACATACACAGAACAACAACAAAGTGTATTAAAGAGTTTTAATCATTCTCGGGGACTTTAATAACGCAAATCTCTCCGGTGAACTGCCAAAATACAGACATCACATGTCCCACCAGAGACAGTAATATATTGGATAACTGTTACACAGCAATAAAGGATGCATAGCACTTTTTTCCCATGGGCAGCTTTGGGGCTCTCTGATCACTGTTTAGTTCATCTTATACCAACCTACAGGCAGAAACCGAAATCAGCTAATCCTGTATTAAGGACTGTAAAAAGATGGACTAATGAAGAAAAGCAGGATTTACAAGCTTGTTTTGACCTCACTGATTGGAGCGTCTTTGAAGCTGCTGCCACCGATCTGGACGAGCCCACAGAGACTGTAACATCTTATATCAGTTTATGTGAATATACATGTATGTGCATTCCTACCTGGACTCATTTAACTTACAACAACAACAAACCATGGTTCACTGCAAAACTCGGACAGCTCCATCAGGCCAAAGAAAATGCTCACAGGAAGGGGGACAAAGTCTTGTATAAACAGGCCAAATACACACTGGAAAAGGAGAGCAGAGTGGCAAAGAGGAATTATTCTGAAAAACTAAGGACTCCGTTCACTTCCAGCTTCTCACTGTGGAGAATCAACAACTGGCAGACGATCTGAATAAGTTCTATTGCAGGTTTTAAAAAACACCCTACACCCGCCCTGAACACCTCTCCACACAACCATTAACACCTCCATCAAGCCCCCTCTCCCCCACACCAGCACTTCAAATCAGTGAAGACGATGTGTGCCAAGTCTTCCGGAAGCAGAAAAGGAAAAAAGCACCAGGCCCAGATTGTGTTACACCAGCCTGTCTGAAATCCTGTGCTGACCAGCTGGCCCCCATCTTCAAACAGATCTTCAACAGATCACTGGAGCTGTGCGAAGTCCCTTCATGCTTCAAACGCTCCACCATCATCTCCATACCAAAGAAATCCAACATTACAGGACTAAATCACTACAGGCCTGTGGCTCTAACATCTGTGGTCATGAAGTCTTTTGAAAAACTGGTGCTGGCCCACCTGAAGGACATTACTGGACCCTTGCTGGATCCTCTTCAGTTTGCCTACAGAGCAAACAGGTCTGTGGATGATGCAGTCAACATGGGACTGCATTATATTCTGCAACATCTAGACAGACCAGGGACTTATGTGAGGATCCTGTTTGTGGACTTCGGCTCGGCTTTTAACACTGTCATCCCAAACCTCCTCCTGCCCAAACTAACTCAGCTCTCCGTGCCCACCTCCGTCTGTCAGTGGATCACCAGCTTCCTGACAGACAGACAGCAGCTAGTGAGGCTGGGAAAATCCAAACAACACATCCAGCACTCGTACAATCTGCACTGGAGCTCCTCAGGGTTGCGTCCTCTCCCCACTGCTCTTCTCCTTTTACACCAACGACTGCACATCTAAAGACCCCTCTGTCAAGCTCCTGAAGTTTGCAGACGATTCCACACTTATCAGCCTCTTTCAGGACGGAGACGAGTCTGCTTACAGACAGGAGGTTAAAGAGCTGTCTTAACAACCTGGAGCTTAACATGCTCAAAACTCTGGAGATGATCGTGGACTTCAGGAGAAACCCCCCTGCACTCCCCCCACTCACCATCATGGACAGCGCTGTAACGACAGTGGAGTCATTCAAGTTCCTGGGCACCACTATCTCTCAGGACCTAAAGTGGGACACTCACATTGACTCCATTGTTAAAAAGGCCCAGCAGAGATTGTACTTCCTTCGCCAGCTGAGGAAGTTCAACCTGCCACAGGAGCTGCTGAAACAGTTCTATTCCACCATCATTGAATCCGTCCTCTGCACTTCAATAACTGTCTGGTTCAGCTCAGCTACCAAATCTGACCTCAGAAGACTACAGAGTATAGTCCGGACTGCTGAGCGAATCACTGGTACAACTCTCCCTTCTCTCCAAGAACTGTACTCATCCAGAGTGAGCAAAAGGGCTGGCAAAATCATTCTGGACCCCTCATATCCAGCACACTCCCTCTTTGAACTGTTCGGTTCTGTAGCGGTCGACACTACAGAGCAATGAGCACCAGAACGACCAGGCACAGGAACAGTTTCTTCACTCAGGCCATCCATCTCATGAACACTTGACAATAACTGTGGATCACACAACACTATTTATACGCTTACACACTTATTTATCTAACATACATACTTAGTCTACATTTCAATTTTGCACTAATATACCTGTACATACAAAACTATCTATTGTAATATACCTGTACATACAACTGTCAATTTGTATATTGTTCATTCTGTTGCACTGTGGAAGCTTCTGTCACGAAAACAAATTCCTCGTATGTGTAAACATACCTGGCAATAAAGCTAATTCTGATTCTGATTCTGATTACCAAACATGTGAAGTTTGGGGCAGATCGGAAATTGCTTGTTTAAGTCAGTTTAAAGTCATTTCCTGTTGCCAGCAGGTGGAGCTATGAAGATAACTGAATATTGGCATTTAGATGTGTTCAGGCCAGGACTCTTATAAAACGTGTGACGTTTGGTGCAGATTGGATATTGTGTGGCTGAATTACAACAACTTCCTGTTTCATTGCATTAATAGCATGCTCTAGCACTTAGTAAGTGCTGCTAGCATGTTTGAGCATGTTTCTAACATCTTTAGCACTCCTGTTGCCAGCAGGTGGCGCTATGATTATAACTGAAAATTGGCTTTGAGATGTGTTCAGGGGCCTCATTTATAACCGTTGCATACGCACAAAAACAGCCCTGAAAGAGGCGTACGCCCCTTCCTGCGGAAAAGTTGGGATTTGTAAAAACAAACTTGACGGGAAAATTTGTGCACCTGCACGCAAATTCTGACCCATGCGTACGAACTCTTTTTCCTTGAGTGAGAAAATTAATGAAGTGAAAACAATGATTTTAAGCTCTGTTTTCATGTCAATATATACATTTACATTAAATATTCCACTCTCATATGGAGATAAGGACTGAAATTACATAAAGTCATTACGCAGAACTTAAACCAAATTTATGTGAATTTAGACATATTTGTAGTAAATGCGCTTAATCACTTTTCCTTTTTTATTGACAGCAAGGAGTGAGGTGCACAATAATTCATCTTTAAACTGAAGTGCAGATCTCATGTAATGAATAAAATTTTTTTAGCAAGAACAATGATCAATGATGTGCACTTACTTCGATATTATGCTGGATTCAGTGGTCGAATGGTCCATTATCCAGTTTGAATAGGTCCAATGATAATATCTTACTGTACAACCGCAGCTGCACAGAGGTGTTGATGTTGTGTGAAGTCATCTCTACAACATTATGAAAAGTACCACTGTAGGCTACAACTAGAAGAAAACTGTAAGATTTATACGTTTCCTTTTTAAAATACTTTGTTAGTGACGCGCCGAGTCAGACAATTTTACACTGCAATAAATAGGCCTATCTGTTTCCACTCAAAATAGCTAAAAAATATTCACCTTATCAGCAAAACTGCATAAATTTAGTTTGATTTGAATTGTTTAAAACATTAATGTATGGCATAAATTGCATTTATAGTCCATATCTCATATTTCCTTAATGTCTTTTGTCTTTGATGGTGTTAAACATGGTGTTACGTGGATGGGAATATGCATGGAAATGTTTTGCAGATGAGGTTATGCATAGTAAAACAAGGCATTCTAAGCTCCATATATGGTGATTTCGGGGAGGAGACGGGGTGGAGATGCACGTACGCACAATCTTCCCCTGACTGGGATTTATATGGGATTTACTTCCCCTGACAAAATGGATTTTACGCAGGTTCTGGCCTGGCCAGTATGCACGGTTTTATAAATCGGAACACTTTTGTGCGTATGCATGAAAGCTAGCTTCTGCGTATGCACAAAATATTTTTTGTTTATATTATTTATATTTATAATATTTATATATATTTATAAAACTGTCTGTA